ATAGATAGATAGATAGATAGATAGATAGATAGATAGATAGATAGATAGATAGATAGATAGATAGATAGATATCCTTTGGGTTCAAAGAAGACATGCTGTTGTGCAGTTCATCAGTGGACATGGAGGTGGCTCTGCAGTCCCGGTCTGGAAGCGCAGAGTCTAGAACAATAGGGGCACTGGAAGTCAATTGCAGCAACTGTGGGAGTTATTCTGTGACTCCACCTGCGGTTTTCTATCAGTTTTTGGCGGCACCTGACTTCAAAGTCGGTGGATCTATGAATAAATGTCTTAAATATGTCCCAAAAGGGTTAACTTACTAGTAGAACTCCTATTTATTTCAACAACAACACCCCAATATCCTTCTTAATATATTCCACAAAATAAGAATCTCTTATGAAGGAAGTATTATGGTTCCATCTGGGATCAATTAATTTATAGTTTTTAAATTTCAAAATTAGACTCACTGAGGAATGCTCTGAACTGGGCCAATTCGGAGTCTACAACCTGACCCACCAAAGCAGGAGGAATAAAAAAAAACTAATATTCTAGTCTAGAACAGTTTTAGTATATTATCTATTGTTGGATTTTTTTTTTAAATGTCATATCTATTAACTTAAAGTCTCTGATACTGTATATGCTTGCAGTATTTCCAGTTTTGAGAAGTAGTATATGTTTTCTTGGAGCATTTCTGTCTAGCTGAGGATCCAAGTTTAGCTTGAATTCACCAGAAGGTATTATGGTTTGAAAAATATAATTTTGAAAAAAATCTATGGACTATTTCAGAAGTGTTCTTAGTGAGGCCATAAAAATTAATCACAACAACGTCATTGGCCATCTTTATAGTGAAGGAAATAAAGTATCCTCCACTGTCAAAGTGCTCATATTCCACATCAATTTTAGAGTTGCCATTAAACATAATAGCTATCCCACATATTTTATTTGATACCCACTAATATAGGTTTGTCCAGTCCAGCTCCTAGGCCTCAAGAAAAACTGCTCATTGGGGGTTTCTTGCAATATAATTATACTGTATCTGGTTGCAATTTTTCCAGCTTGTTACAAATTTGTCTCTTTCATTCTTTATCTAAGTCCATTTAGATTCCAGCTGATTGCTTTCAGTGCCATGTCTCCATGTAGACAAAATATTTCTCAAGGTCAATTTCCCAACATTACAGATATCTCATACTGGACTAAATTTAGTAAGTACCCAATACATAAAAGGGGAACATTTAAGTAATGAATATGGATCTAAACTAAAATAAAAATAGCGTAATGCAAAAAGTGTCATAATAAAGAAAATACCCTCCCCAACTAGACTAACATTAAACATTAAAAAGAAAAAAAATCTTCCATCTTAAACCGTCAGTTTGGCTTTGTGTACTGCTGACACACACACACATACACACACACAACACATCCCTCCAGTCTTGGTAATAAAGACATAGAAATGCAAGCTTCTATATTCGTAGAGTAGTAACAATTTTTGAAAGAAAGAAAAAGAAGAAAAAACAAGCTTGTTACTTATCAGACAAGTGCAGAGCCTCTAAAAATTCCACAGCAGCAGATGGGCTTTTAAATCTTTTGATCTCTTCAGGAGAAAGGCAGAAGATTGCTGGATACAAAAAAAAGTATTTAACATTCTTGTTCCTTGCTAATTATGTGCCAAAGCAAAGCCTCTTCTTAAATTTGACACTTATGAAGGAAGATCTGGATAAATCATTATTTAATATTCATGATGTTTCAATTCAGTAGTTTGTCTTCAGAGTGGTGGTACAAGATGGTCTCTGGTGCTGGACTTCAGAAATTTAACAATTATAGGGACAGATCTCCATGAAGGATTGTCTCTTGTTTTTAATCTGTAGGCAACTAGTATTTCAAGTATAAAATTGGCTGGCAATAATAAGATTTCATGAGTAGGTTCTTCCATGTAAATTAACAAGGGCTTCTACTGCTCTACATCCAGAGGTAGAGTCCTTATTTGTTAGGTTTTTTGGGGAGTTTTTTGCTCATGAGCTTTAAATAGTTTGGCTTGCAGATGTGAGACTATTCCTTTACATCTAAAATGTTAATTCTGGTTTCATGAAAAGTAACAATACTTTTCTTCAAGGCTTCCAAATCTTTGTCAATTTTAATAACTTCGGCTTTCATAGTTTTAAATTCCCCATGGATCCTTGATATGCCAGATCCCAGGCTCATAAATCTACAATCCATCTGTTTAGACATCGACCGAAGGTTCACTACTCGTTCAAAGCTCATTATTTCTTCTTGCTGAGGTAGTGATACATCTGGGGTTAATACAGCTTTATCTAATCCAACAGAATCAGGGGAGGCAGCCATGACACCCTCCTCTCTGTCTGTGATTGCCGTAGAGTATGTACATTCATCCAGCTTTCTTCCCTCTCCATCATCCAGAGTGGAGCTCTTCGCTCCAGATGACTGAGGGAGAGCCATCTTCTTCATTTTATGAGGCATTATTATTAAAATACTGTGATATCCAAGTTGTTAAAAGAAACTGAGAATTTGGGCATAAATCACTCACCAACGTGTGAGCAATTCTGTCTACAGGGTTGGAGCGAGGTGAAGGAAGCCATCTGCCTAAGCAGCCATCAAAACCAGAAGTTCACAAAACAGCTTTAAATGTGAAACAGAAGTATATACTTCATGAAGTTCTCCCCACGTATTTGCGATCACAGAAATGAGAGTGGCATTTTTTACTCTGTTTCAGACAGGAAGGTATAACGTGTCAGCCCGGTCACTCCATCTTCAGAAGTTAGCTCAAGTTGTAAGTTCCTGCAGGAATACTGATTCCCCTATAAATAACTCTTCCAACAAACAATAGGTGCACTACTGTATGGGATTTCCATGGTATTACATTATCACATGAATAGACTCTGTAATGTGCTGTAATGCCCTTTTCTGTCTCTAGGTGTCAGCATAACTAACAGCACTGGAATAGGACTCTAATAGCAAATACTATTTTCACAAGCTAATACTCCAAAAACCTTAGAGTAAAACTACTGGATCTGGGTTGCAAAAATCCAGAAAGCAGCAGAGAAAACTCTAACTCCTGGCTGCCATCTAGTGGTTATCTCAATTTTTGCAGCTCACATCTGGTCGCCCTATTTCTTCAGTTTTTATTTTATTTTTTTTACAAAAGAAAAGGAAAAATCTCTCCAGTCCGTAAGGTTGATACTGAATTCAAACAAGAAATGAACTGCAGAAATAAATGCAGTCCAACTACATATTAGGAGACATTTGCAAATACGTGCTTTTTAGCATCGAATAACAAAAATTCATGTTAAATGCAATACAGTAAACAAATTGTGTCAACTCAGTCTTGATGTTGTTTCACTATACCTGGTTCGAAGTGTATCCAGACAAACTGGCAAATACTTGTCAAACAAAATGGTCAGGTTAGCTCGTTCTGACTGAGTTTCTCGTCTGTCTATCCAGCTACTTACAGGGGGATTCCAGCCTAGATCAGCTGGATTGATATAAAGGATCCCTGAAGATGTAAAATATCAAAGTTAGTCTTAGAATTTCCACATCTAAATTAGAAAGATAAAGTCCCCTACATGTTAAACTTAACACTGGTAATTTAATGGATATGCCCATGTTGTTTTCCTAACAACAATATGGAAGCAGCTAGGTAATTTTTTTCTCCCTCCCAGTCTCCTATACGGCCCTGAGATTTCCTGGAGGTCTCCAATCCAACTACTAACTGGCTCTGACCCTGCTTTGATTCTGAGCCCAGACAAAATCATCCAGATGCCACCAGCTGTTAAGGCAAAGTGACTAAAACCTATACATTTTGTGTGGAACTTCCATAAGGACCTATAAAGAATTGGTGATGTCCCAAGATGGAAAAAGGCATTAGTAATTTGCTCTTGTTATTAATTTCATTTTAATTACTTTTTTTGTACCTTAGGAAGTTGTCTCCTGTTTTTTCTTCATTGTGCAGGAAGAACAGATCCTGGGAGCTTTATTAAGATGTTCTATACTTGTATTTTACTTTGCCCTAACATTTGCCACTGTTTAATCGTGGATTGTGTACCACATAAAATTGTCATCTGTCATTCTCTTGCCAATGCTTTCCATCAACCCTATTCTAATCAGTCAGTCATACCCTGTCCCTTCATCCACCTTGATCAACTACACTGGCATTTGCTCATTCAGGAATCCAAATTCATACTCTAAAAATAAAGCAGGATTCAGCCAGGGAAAAGTCCACCAGATTTATAATGGGGCAACAGTTGGAAACTAGGTAAAACATAACTGATGTCAGTTTTGCTTTAAACAAGCAAAACTGGAAGACATGGATCTTAATAAAAAAGCTCCCTTGGTATGAAATGGCAGACTTAGATAGGTGCTACAGTTTGTGGCAAAACTCAATAGTATAATAGCATTCACTACTATATGTGATAAGCAAAGAGAAACATGGAGCCCAGAACAAGTGCTGAGGCAGCTGGGAGGGGTCAAAAAATCAACATGGCAGCCAGAACCACACTATCAAAGCCTCACCTTTTTTTACATGCAACACCCCCCCCCTTGTGGATAACCTGACAGGTACATATACCCAAAACTAGGTAAATCAGATTGGCAAACACATGGCCCCATTTATTATTGTTACCTGTAATAAGCATAGATAAAAGACATTACTGTTCATTCTTAAACATTACATTCTTTAGCACGGTACAGAGTTTAAGACAAACTCTAACTGCCCCTGGGCTCAAATTTCTATGAATGCAGTTCTAAAGAAAAAAATATTCTTTAGTCTCGCCTTCCCTAATCTGGTGACCTCTATGTACCAATCCCCATCTTTAATTATTTATTTAAACAATTTATATAATAGCTGCCCATCAGTGATTCATGCTTAGCATAGCTCAGGATTTCTCCACCTCCTCTACTCCATCTTAAAGTTGAAGAGGTTGAAAAACACTGGCTAATCCCTCTGTAAGATTATGGTAGCTATCATCCAACACATCTGGTAAACACTAGGTTTAAATGCTGGTTTCCCTAACAGGAATTCCTCTCATCTTTTGCCATGCCAAGGACAAGCTGCCTTCTTTCTTTCCCTGTCAACTACCTGCTCGGGAGACAGTGGCTGGCGTGGCAGTCCGCAGGTGACTGATTTCAAACAATAGCCTCATGGTGGGGTGGAGCGGGATCCTTTCATTGCTTGCTAGTGTTAGTACCTGCAAAAGAAGGCATCCAGATTGGAAATACAAAGCACCATGTGAACCACAGCAGCCCACTGGAAAAAAGAGTATATAAAACGTATACCTCAATTCCTTCTCCAAAGAGGAGCCACTAAAATGTCTTACAAACTATAAAATCATAATTCTTTGAAAACACATTTTAAAAAAGCATCAGCAAGACAACAAGCCAAAGCGATAATAAATTAAATGAGGCAATTATGAAATCAGTTCATTTAAAGGAAAAATGGTCTTTAATTGGCCATGGAAGGAAATCTGACCCTTCAGCAGGGGAAGAAAAATATTCTCACCAAGTATGCTTAAGAAGGCAATGGTACATGCTAAGGGTCCAAAACAGCTAAGCTTCAAGGGAATATTCCTACAAAAATTCTGTTCCCCAAATTTATCCTGGCTTGAAAGGTATTAAACAGCATCTTGAGCACCATTCAAAAATGGCCTGCTGGTCAGCCTATCTGGCAGAATAAAGGGATTACATAACCCCAGCACATCACACAACATTTTAGCAGCAACAACATTTTGTACCAATTCTCAGAGGCAGCCCAGCATAGACCCTAAACCAGAGGTGCATCTGCAGAGGGAGCAAAAAAGGGTCAAAATGGCGACCTTGCTTGTGTGACTGAAGCCCTGCCCCTCTCTTATTGCACACTGCACACTCTCCGTAGAAATCCGACTGACAACACTTCAATCGCTCCAGCAATAAATGGCAGCCCTGGTCTTGACAAGAGTCACAGCAAGAGTACATGTGATTTTCAGAGCTGTTGCCAGAAGCAAAAGTGCCACTTATACTATTTGAAAATATTCTTCTGAAAACTCAAGGTAGATTTCTGATAATTCGCTTAAACATTTTCTGGTTTAATATCTTATGACTAAAATTATCACTGTAAAGATTATCAATAGCTGTTCTGTAACCTATATTTAAGAATATGGGTTACCTTTGAACTTATCTTTTACCTTATTGTCATCCATGACAGTATTGAGAGATTCAATCCACATTGGATCAATATCGCCATCCAACACAATCCATTTGGGGCCATCATGTGTAATATTGGCTAAATCTCGCATAATCGATGAGAACAATCCTAGAGAGATCACAGGCATCCCCTCTGCTCTTACTAATAATCCACAAGAGTTTTATTCAACTTGCATGCAAATGAGCACAGAAAAACTAGATGCAGTTAATTAAATCTGGTAATTACAAAAGCAACAGGATATGGATAGAATTGCATTCAAGAAGAAATGAAGAAGTATTATCAAATAAATAAGAAATAATCTCACTGAAAATAATCTCACATCACTTTACACTGCTGAGACTGATAAAGCATAGAGCAATAAAAAACTACCCTGGGCACTCTTATTAAGAAAAAAAGAAAGAAAGGAAAGAAGAGCAATGGTTTTGAAAAGGATTTTGCTATTGCTGTACTCATTCTCCCTAATTCTTGAGGTCAATATTATCTTCACAGCAACAACATAAATACAATCAAAGCTTCACACATTTATATCTCTGAAAAATTACAGAATGCTCTGGTCACAATAAAAATATCCTTGTTTTCCACCATGGGCAATTTCTCTGAAAAAAAATCTTTTGTAAGTGCTGGTACATTTTAAATACTCATGCTTAAAGATATGGCTAGTGATGCTTCCTTAATCAGATGCCCTTAAGATACACTGGACCACAAGTCCCAGAATTCTACACTACTGGCTGTGGACATCCCAAGGGCACCAGACTGGGGAAGGCTATAGTGGATGCCTGTTTCTAACTAACAGCATACATACTTGCTATCAGGTAGAAGATACCCATGAAATGCTGGTGTATTCCCTTAACTAATGTATGAAGTATATATAAAACTCTGTCCTCAAAAATGTTTAAGCATCTTTAGAGCAAAGTATACTGACTTTCCAAAAATGATCCCTTTGCTTAGAAAAAGGTATGAGGAAACCTCCTTTGTACTGTATGTTTAGGCGTCTTCTGTATTTTTACTGTTAGGTTCAGACACAACAGAATCAACCACAAGAGAGACTGCACATTCTCTTTATGGCCACAGTTGATAATATGGACTACTTCCTAGCTGCCTCTCAATCATACCTCCAAGCTGTTCTCTCCTAAAGCCAAAGCAAACATTTAGGGGTCAGGGTTTTTTTTAACTGTTTTTGTGGTTTGGCAAGTTTAATGAAAAAAATAACCCTTTTCTTGGATTTCAGTACATGGCCTTGATCTTACCATCTTTCCATTCTCTTGTAGATGGATTAATGATGCCAAAGAGTTCATCATTGGTAACTGCTTTTGGATTGAGGTCCATCCAAACTGGCCGCCGCTTCATGATATGGTAAGTCTTGTTCAGAGATTTCAGCACCTGCGACTTGCCCGTGCCTGCGTTGCCCACCACAAAGACTGAGTGCCGAACAGCAAGCAGCTCTTCAAGCTGTACTACCTTGAGTAAAAAGCCAATGAAGAAAAAAAAACACAACATTGTGGTCATCCTTATTACTAGCTACGCAGACAAGAATATATATACTTGGGGGTGGGGGGCAGAGACACTGAATCCACCATTTTGTTCCATGGTGGCCAGCCATTAGCATTTTACTTCTTCTCTATGAATGAGTCTAATTCCCTTTAAAGGTTTAGTAAGTTGTTGACAGCAAATTCCACAAGTTAACTCTGTGCTGCATAAAAAACATCATTTTCTGTGTCCTGAATCTCTCAATGCTTAAACTTTATACAATGAGCCTAAGATCTAGAATGCTGATATGTCTCTATGCTTCATTTTATTTGTCATTTTCATATCCCCTTTTCTTTTCTTTTTACTAAGCTAAGAGGTACAAAGCATTGAAATGATTCCTTGTAAGAGAGTTCAATCATTCTGGCTGCTATTTTCCAATATTCAGCAGGTCTATAATAACCTTTTCGAAGAATGACACACAATATTCTAAGCATTTTTGCGCTGTAGAATTCTAGAAAGGACTTACAATTTGGCAGTTTTGTTTTTAATTTTTCCCTAATGTTCACAAAATAAAGAAACAATAGTGAAACACTATGGGATAAAGAGTGAAAAATCTAAGGAACTGTCAGTGCAAAATACCACACCAGTGATGAATAGCTACATGTATATTTCCTTTTAAAGTAGATAGAAGAAAGAACCATCTCAAAACATATAAGAAAATAAAAGAGATGAATGAAATCACAGTCTTACTTTGAGTACAAAGTTGTCCTCTGGTTGAAGTTTGAGTTCCAGCACAGCTTGTTTTACAAAGGATTCAAAGTTGAGGTCTCGTTTTCTTGGGACATCCAAAGCAGGAAACAGGTCACCAATCAGACCCATGAATACTGGCATGTCATCTGTCACAATCTTTGGAATGTTAAAGTCCCGGAGAGAGCGCATCAGCACTTGGTCTTCAGGACGGTCTGGGTCTCCTCTCTTGAGGGAACCGGCTACAACCAAGACTGATTTGATTGCACGTAACCCCCAGTCATAATGATCCTAATAAGGAGGGGGAAGGAAAGAAGAGGATAACTCACTTCTACTGAACACACACACCAAACCTGGAAGTAAATCTGCAGATCTCCGCATGCTATCAAAGGAGCAGAAACTAATGATACTCTTGCTTTGATCCTCAGTTTCCTGTTGAAAGGACCTGAAACCCAAGCTTTCCTGTAGTCAGTATAGAATCAGCAAGGTTAGGGAAGTGGTACAAGGAGATGAAATTCTAATGGACTTGATAAGAAATGTTGAGAATTAGTACTGTGCCTGGAAGTTCCTAATTCCAGGAATAGCAAGTGTAAAATCCACATCCCCTACACCTGAATTATTAGGTAAATTAACACAATCCCTATAGGAACAAAAACAAGGAGAACAATTGTTCCCACTTTATATTCTAGAATGCTTTGGAAAAATAAACGTATGCACTATACATCACTGAAGTTGTTCTCAGAGCTAAAATTTGTCTACCTCTGATATGATACAATTATTTAAATCTACTTACCTGCTTGGATAGAAGTTCTCTGCATAACTGATAAAGGGTAATAAACTTCCTAGCTAATAACCGGGCTTCTATAAATCCTTCAGCCACGAGCATAATTTCACAGATCAGCTCAAAGTCTGGCACAACCATTGCGCATGGTCTAGGAAAAAAGTCCACAAAATGTAACCAGGAAATTGCCCTATACAACACCAAAATGTTTGTCCATTTATCCTATTCATTTGATCGACTGAGAAGCTCTTCTGAATTTGGGGTTTTTGCTTTTTTCACATCACCTGTGAAGGTAATCCTTTTTAAGAAGTAAAACAGACAAAACAAATTCAAGATACCATGATGAAGTGAACCTGGACCTTCTATATACAAAGAATGTCCTATAACTTTGAATTATGCCCTTTTACCTTCCTTTCTATTCTCAGTGCAAATATTACACAAACTAAAACTTCAGGAATCACAAATTAACAATACTTCCTCTAACCTGCTGCAATAGTATTTTGAACTATCTCTGCAATCTCACGTATCTGGTGTTCAAATACCAGTATAATTTCTTCAAGATTATCTTCAGCACCACATAACTCTTAATTCTTTTAAAGGCATTTCTTTTACTAAGGGACATCATAATATTCAAAGTGCTTCCTGGAATGTATATAAAAGCAACATTCCAGTATGATTGTGTAGTCAGGACTACAAGGTGGATACATTCACAAGTTGATGCACTTGATATATTTTATGGTTTCCAGATTAAACCAGATTTGGCTACTCTTATTCATTAGTTTAAAAAAAAAAAAAACTGGCAAAACAGTATACTGGACTTGCTTCTCTTGTCTTTGCCAAGGTTGAACATACATAGCTATGATAAGGGAGGGAGGGAAGGAGGGAATGAATGCTGTGGTCAATAATGAAAGTCACAATTTGGGAGATTTAGATTTGTCTTCCAGCGCAACTATGGATACACTAAGTGTTAAACCAGCATGTTACTGTATCTCAGTTTCAGCTTTGTAAAATAGAAGCTGGCTAACCACATAAAACTATTGGAGAAAGTTGAAAGGAAACTTATAGGTCATCTTTTTTGTTTGCAATGGTGTTAGAGGGGGCTGTATGCCAATGCTGGGCCACAGAAGTTTGTTTTGGAAGTTTATTGTAGAAGATATGCATCTATTGCAAATGGCTGAGGAATGTGTAGAGAATTTCTGGATGCTGTGTGTATCACTGGACCCTGGGGGAAGCAGTTTGCGGTGACTGTTGGAGGTGACAGCATCTAGGACCTCTGGGGTGGCCTGAAGATGGTTCCAGTTTGATCAGTTTGATGAAAAGGACCAGGGAGTTGGACCTGGTTTCCTATCTTCATTTGCAGTCATTGCCTCATTGCTGTTTGAACCGCAGACATCCATCACGTTCTCCATGAACAGCTGCAGGTGGCCAAGGAGCACTATAAGCATTTTATGGGCTTCCCCAACCAAAAAGTAGGACGACCTCTGAAGGTTGCTGACCAGGTATGGCTGGCAATGATGCACCTGCTTCAATTTCAGTCTAAGTAGCACTGGGTACAATATAATGACTGTCTTTCATATTCTGGATGCAATGTTTCTGTTAATGCAAGTCCAGGACTGAACTAGCTTTTCTACCTGCTAAATCACACTGCTTACTTACTTACACTCACATTCAGCTTACTTCCTGTATCATTCTCACATGCATTGTTTCCAAGGCAAGACTCCCCAAATCTGTACCTATGCATTTTATTTTTTTAATAGATGCAGGATTTTACAATTGTTGCCAGTGAACATCATCCTGTTGGCTATGACACAATGTTCAAGCCCATTGAGATATTTTTGAACTCTGATTTTGTCTTTAATCTCTGTGTTACCTGCAAATTTAGCAAGTATTCTTTCCATTCCAGCTTTTCAGTTATTTATAAAGGTTTTGTATAGCACAAGCCAAAGAAGGAGCCTGGGGATTCCACTTCCCTTCAAGCCAAAGCAGGACAATGTAAGAGTGTCATTTGGGTGCAGTTGTTATCAATCCGCTATCTAACTTTGCTTTAACCTGACAGACCTTGGTCAGGATTGGAACCCTCATATATTTGATTTGATTTGATCTGTAAGACCAGTTAATCATCAAATAACTCAAACCAGCACAACCTAAGCAAAACTCCAAAATTGTACAAAGTAGATTTGCTTCAGATGCCATTCTCCCATGCTTAAATAACTAGCAAATATTCTCTGCCTATCCTTTGTTCATCCTTCCCTCTCGCCTGGTAGAATGTATTGCCATTTTTGCTGCTAGAGAGAAGATTTAACACAACCCTGTATAGGACGGAATCTCTCCTACTTGCTGGAAAAAACAATTTCTCCTGTGCTTCCACACTGCCCCTTCTATATCATGTGGCAATTCAGTGCAATAACATTTCCACTCACACTAACTCTGAGGAGACAATACCCTCCTTTTAGCTGACAGGTCACTCAATAGTTCCAGAAGAACACTAAATTTATGGCTATTGCCATCACTATTACACGCTCAATTGTTTAGCAATTCTGGAAACCTTAAAACATTTTCTGCAAGCATTTTGGCTATTTATAATGTGTTTTGCTGTTTTCTGGTACATTTGTTTTTGGTCTTTGTCCATTAAAACAATTAAACTAAACCACACTAAGCTACACTAAACTAAGTTCTTCCAACTGTTGCTGTGAGGAATGAGGTAGATACTTTTAATAAACCACAACCACAAATTTCATAAAATGTAAGAAAAATTAGATCACTGCCTTACCTAAAAAGAGCCTTCAAATTCTCTGGCAGCTCCGTACGTCCTGCATAGCCAGGATTCATAGTAATGAATATACCAACAGAAGGAACCAACTGAATGTCTTCTCCAAGGAAATTAAAATTCTGTTTTTTGTCTCTTATAGCATCCTGTATGCTTTTCACCTGACAGTAAGAGAAGATGGTTTGTTAACAAGCTTAGCAGATTTAACAAAACATATCCATATCTTACAAAAAGGGAAATAATGGTGCTATAGATTTTACTTGATTGGGCTACCTCCTTATAGGCTAACGCTGGGACAGACATTAGCTGGCTGTTACCTGCCAAAAGGAGACAAGAACTTAAACAAATGTTGCATTTAAAATCACTTGATAGGCTGCAGCTTGAATATTGCATTAAGAATAATTGTAGTAGAGGAATTCTTGAATCCTTTTTTCATTTTTATTGATATATCTATCATTAAAGCATAACATCAAACATAACAGATATAAACTAAAATAATAGTTTTCTTAAACTATTCAAAGCCTAAACCTTAACGTATCTTGTAGCAAAGGATTTATTTTAGAGACAGTATCTCCTGAATACCTCCTGTTATTAAAGCCTTAACAAAAAGACAGCTCTTTTCATTTCTAAGCATTTTTAATCAAGTGCTGAATAAGAAGAATAAACTATATGGAAGCAATAACATTCTAAAATCAGATCACATTTGCATATTTTTACAAAGTTATTTCACCCTTAATATTACCTACTGTCCCACAAAACCGTACTCACAATTTAACAGTTACTAGGATGAAAAATACAAAGACATGTGTCTTTCAGGAAAATTAATTCTAATTATAACTCTGAGAAGACACCCCTAATTCAAAAAATGCTAGCTATATATTATCAAGATTATTATAGGCACTTTTATGTCAAGCTGCTTAATAGTGATAATTACATAAAGTTTCTATTCATTAACGATTAAGGGGAAACTCGGGGTAGATTTCTGGCCACAAATTATACAGTTCTATAACTCCTTACATCTTGAGCTATGAGCTTTATTTCAAAGGATAAAAAAAATGTGGAAGAACTATCTTGGGCATTTCACACATTTCAGGAAATAAGTACAATTGCTGTTCTCATCCTCCAGATCTGGTAATTTTTTCTACAGACATTTAATTAAAAATCCATAGGAAAATTCAGCAATCCAGAAATCAGTTCCCAAGAACAGACTAATAAATGGAATGGACTGACCTTCATCTAATCTTCTCTACTTTTAGTATAAAAAACAATTAAAGGATGCTTGGCACCTACTGTATAACCACAGCACAGAGCAGAAATATTTGAAAGCATGTGACCACTTCCTTAGGGCAAACAAAAGCAAATTCCAATACTGGCTTCTACCAGGGATGAAATACAGAAGAACAACTAAGAAACCTCACATAGAGGATGACATGAGTATTAACCCAAAAAAGCAGCTCCCTGCTGTAGGGAAAGAATGAATCATTTAAAAAACCCTACACTGACACTATACCCAGGTTGGTAGTCAACATGGTCAAATGGGATACTCCACTGGACCAAAGTCCAGCCATAGTCCTGCTCCCCTATTCTTTTTTATTACACTTAGGATACGTTTTTTACCTACCTGTACAGCCACAACTGAGAGAACCTCAACAGAGATTCGGTTAAACTCATCGAAACAGCCCCAAGCCCCCGTCTGGGAAAGACCTTTATAAATGTTCCCACAAGACTGCAAGAGAGAGAGAGATGGTAGTGAAATTACCCACAGAATCTGTTTAGTGAACAGCATGTAATCTATTTCCAACTTCTAAACAATTTAGGGCGTTCTCTAGACACTGATTACACAGGGATGGAACTAAAGATAGAAGCTGCATTGAAAAATATGAATCATGTGTTTCTCAAGTGTACATTTTTATTACATATGAGGCATACTTCTATTAAGGATGTTTTCTGGTCCCCTCCACATAGCAGGGAGTTACCAGTTGAAAAGAAGTATTAACTTCTCTATATGGACACAATTGAAGAATCAGATCTTTTTTGTAACAGCCTTTAGAGAAGTCACCCTCTTTGTCTTTGCCTAGTTTCACATTCATTTCTCAGACATTACCTTATAGTCCATTTGCTCTGAACAATTGAACACATACACCATGATGCCAAGAGCTCGGCCCAGGTCTTTGGTGGTCTCAGTCTTCCCAGTACCAGCTGGCCCTGCAGGTGCCCCACTCATCGTTAGGTGCAATGATTGTGTGAGAGTGATATAGCATCTACAAAGAGGATGTACAAAGAGGGAGGAATAGAAAACAGAAAAGAATAAAGTTGGTTGCATACTCTCAGCTAATCCAATTTTCACTGACAGTCTACCAATGACTTCTATATAATTTTAGGTAGAAATAAAGTAGACTCTGTGGAAAATTTGTAAAGAGGAGATGAACATGAGTGGATTACAGTGCTGGAGTAACATCAAGCAAATGAGTCTACATCATTTGTAACCATTCAGAAACAAAGTGAGCTGAATGAAGTAGGCAAATTCTGAAATACTGTGAAGCATACAGATAATTATAGAAGAGGCCTTCTTGAAGCAGTGCCATTTGTTTCATGTGTGAAAATTTCGCAGGCAACTTATTTAAGGCATTGCACTGTGACATAAAATCCTAACATCTGCTCCATATTCTCCTGCAGTGGTTCTTCTTCCAGGTCTAACAGTAGGAAATGTATTTGAGAAAGACAGCAGCTGGATCTGAATTGAATCCCTCCTAATGAAGACCTGTAAACGTAATTGCCTATTGGAAACAGCATGTTTTTGCAAAAACAAGAACAACACACACATACCAAAATATTCTGCAACGATCATCCAAGCTTCATTGCATATTATGAGTGATGTTTTTTCTCCAATTAAATTTTCTAGACTCCTACCTGTCTGTTAGAGGAGTGATAACCAGGCGTGATGTGTTCCCAAGGTATTCATAAGAATACAGGAACTGGGCATCGCAAATATTTGCATAGCAACGCTTCTCTTCTTCTGCCCACCTGTGTCGGAGTTGTGATAGCCAAAGAAAGACCTGTGCATTGTCCACCTTTAAGAGCAAAAAAAAAAAAAAAAAAGTATAATATAAAACAAAGACAAAAGATTCAGCCTAAACTCAGATGTAATTAATAATATTGTTCAGTAGTCTTCTATTCCCATGTCACTTTGAAATTACACAAGTTCTTCTAGAGTAGTCATTTTTTTCTGATTTTTTAACTGAGAGAAACAGACCCTAAAACCTCAAGTTACAAGGTATTTAGGATCCAGAGCCGTGACAATAGCCCTTGAACGTAATCCCATTGCTACTTTACTAATTTCTCATTTTCCTTGGCACAGCCCAACCTTTGCACAGTTATCCCAAGATAAATAATTGGTAAAAGTGGTACTGCTGCTCATGTTGCAGGACAAACCTTTTGGGCAATCATCTTTGCCACCACATCTCGAGCATGCACATCAATGGTGCAGATGGTCATGATCTTCTGTCTGTCACCCTTAGAGAGTTGTCCAATGAGCATTGTGATAAGGGTGTTGAGCTGTGTCACTTCTTTCTTATAACAATCCTTCATGGCATTCTCATAGCCTTCTTCCAGCCTGGCAAAGGCAATCCCAACCTCTGTTGTCCACCAAATCTGTGTACAGGTCAGTGCCACCTTGAAAAAGAAAAGCAACCCAACTTCCCTCACAAAGTCAGCAGTAACTGATGGGTTGGTTTGTTTGTTTATATTTCAGATGTGATCACTGCCCATCTCACTAGGAATGGCGGTGGAATAGGGTTACTGGACCAACCTGATTGTATGCATATGCACATGTGTTTCCATTTACAGAATAACATTTATGTGAAACACATGGGAAATCTATCAGGAAGCAAAAAATATAATTAAAAGGAATGTCTATAGATGCCTGCAAGTTACTACTCATGGTCAGTTCTCCAAAAAAACGACGTGGAATCTATCAGCTGATAAGAGCGTTTTGCTCACTTACTGCTGTGTGAATGGGAAGATGTTATAGCTGAATAAGCATAATTTAGGAAAATCTCTGATTCATGTTAGGGCACATATATTTGTTGTTAGCCATTTCTATCTCCTTTCCTATAATAACTGCTTTCCTAACTTAATGGGAAATGTTAACAGGAGATGGCAACTCATCAAATAAAAAAATCTATGGAAGGAAGAAAATCAAGTCAAAGACCATGACAGCCCAGGATTACAGTCACATAAAGGCCAAATAGTCAAGGCATAACATAAAAGCTGTGATTAAATATTTCTGATCTTAAAGGTATTTCTTGCCATCACCTGCTTCAGGTAATCTATGAGAAGCCAGTAAAAAAGCCCATAAGAAGCATGAAATATAGAGCTTAATGTCCTTAAATGTGAAAGGATAGAAGCGGGATGTTAATAAGTGTGAAGTAAACCATTAGGAGGGTATAATTATTTTTAAACAAGAACAGATAGAAAGGCTTGCATTACAGAGTTATGCACAGAGCCATGGAAAAGCTCTGAAACATCTAGAGTATTTCTCTAAAAAATGAAAAATAAATCAACCAGACTTTTGTTCAGTGTCTGGTATCTAAATCAAGTTTAGACTAGAAAAGCAACCTTTGCTCAATATATTATAAAAAGAAAACCATTTTCCCCGAGCCCCTTATTTATTAGATGCTTGGAGGAAATGGCTTTTCTTTTCTTTTTAAAGCAAAGCAAAAACTTCTGAGCTGTAAAACCATTTGATAATCTTTAGTCATTGGCAGCCTGATTCTTATAGCACTGATCTGGCTCAAGAGCTATTAAAGTGGAAACAGTGTTTATAGAGGGAGCAAAAAAGGTTAAACATTTAACAGTTAAACTTTTACTGTTGGCCTTCATTTTTTCCAGGATTTGGCACTGACTTTCGTCCCTACTGGCTTAACACAAAAGCAAGGCTGCTGGTCATGTTATAGAAACTTCATTTCCCATTATTTTCACAGCACAGCCCTTGACAATGACCCTTTGAGTTGTTCTTAATCTCTGAACTCCAGCACATAAACCAGGGTCAAGCAAGATACCAGTTGGGTTCATATATTGTGATAAACCATGACATGCTTGTTTGCTTTTGGCTCAAAGTGTTACAGTTAAAAAGTCATGGCTTAGTGCAATGTGTAAAGTTAGTCACATAAAGGTCAGTAGCAAAGATAAATAAGTACCCTCTCTTAACCAACAACCTCACTGAACTTTAGAGAAGGGATGGACAACCTTTTGTTCAGGCCTGCCCTCAACATCTGGAGGGGATAAATGTCATAAGGTCGGGTTACATCTCTTCTGCCCTCAATATCTGGAGGGGATGAGGGATAAGGTTGGGCTACATCACTTATGTAGGCTAAGCTGGGGATCTGGGGATAGATGGGAGGAAATTCAGGAGGTTGCTTTACTTTTTAACATTGAAATATTTATTTTAGATTTGTATTACAGCCTTTATCTATTTTGCAACCCAACATGTCACCAGTTTTCAGCAATGATGGTCCCAGGGGGGTTCTGAGAGCTAGATGAAAGAGACTCAAGATCTGCAAACAAAAGCTATCACTACTTTAAACCATGATTGATAGACTGACCATATGTAGCAGAGCTGACAAATGCTCAATATTAGAGAACATATCTGTCTATTCCATCAGTTGTCTTCCAGATATGTTGGAATATAGCGGCTGGCATTTCCAGTCCAGCATGGCCAGCAGCTGGCAGGGAAATCCAAAAGTTGCAATCCAGTTTATCAGGACTGGAGGTGGTTTGCTTGGGGAAAATTGGAGTAAACATCATTTTCTCCAAAAAGATTCTACGTACAGTATATTTTTCCACAGAAGCAGCAGTAAAGCAATACCTGGGCAGGATAGTCAAACAGCCACTGTTCCCTTGCCTTTTCCTCATAAGCCACTACAGCCTCTGTCATCTCATACCTCACAGTGGCCCGCATGTGGTCCAACACACGGTTCAGCCAGCACTCCACCTACAGAAGAAAGAGAAGTTAGTCACTGGCCATCTATGACTAATCCTTCTCTGGAAATACCAAAGAATGTTGCTGGACGATATCACTGGAACAGATCCTGATGGCTGCACCACCTGGAATTGGCCCACTTGCTGCCAAACTCCATATACCCTAATCTTTGTAGGGGTGAGAAAAGGTAGCTGTGAAGTAGTATATGTGTACTTTTTTTATTTTTGGTAGCAGGGTTGTGTAACTGTTTCCCAGCTGAGAGCTATAATTCATCTTTCCCAGAGGCCATACTCCAAACGAGGTCAGAACAAAAATCAGATTTCATTTCACTTCCATTTCATTAAAATTAAGTATTGTTAATATAATTATGCTCCAGCCGTGTATTTAATATCACCTCTCATTGCATATGGTATTATAATGTAGTAGCAACTTTTAGAGGTCTCTAGTGTCCATTTCCATGACTTTTGTGGGCCATAGATTATGCACCTCTACTTGATCAGCATTTTCTATAGAACTAATACAGAATATAAAACCTCATAATTGGTCATACTCCACCACATCTTATGGAAAAGATCATCCTATGTTATTCTCAGCACCATATATGCACTAGGTGGAAATCACTGTAGAAGCCTCCTGTTGCTTTTTGATCCCAAGTCAAGCACTGAAACCGAACATCTCTAAGCTGCCCACAATCCATTAAAAATAAAGTTTACTCTGAAGTAACCATTGGTATATTGTTTAAGTTGCCTGGATGATTGTTGCTTCCAATGCCAATTTTTAACAAATACCTATTTAAAGAATTTTAAAATTTGCTTTACCCCCGCCCTGCGCTGCCCCCAAATGTGTTTTATAAAATATTGGCCTCAGCTTTCAGATCTACAGTCTAAAAGCTATGATACATAAAAGTATGAATGGGGAAGGAAAGCACAGCCCCAGTGATAAAGACACACTTCTCATCATGACCAGCTCAGATAGCATATTGGAATGGCTGCCATACATGACAACAAAGGAAGCGGGTCACTCTGCACAACTTCCTTTCTTTCTCTCTGCTTTCCAGGCTGCTGGAATAGTTGCCACAGGTGGCTTTCTGGAACCTATTCCTCTCACTCCCGGAAGCAGTTTGTTGCTTGACGTTCACTTACCTGCCCACTGCAATCACATGGCTCACTAAAATCAACGTATTCCTCCTCTTTACTGTACATCCCTAAACCCAGCTTGGTTTGATTTTGCTCAGAATCCACATCAAATTTCATTTTGGCCATATTGTCAAAAAGTTTTGAAAGATGGCGCTGAACCTGCAAAATGAATTAGGACAGATTGCTCATATTTGAACTTACCCACTTACCAAGTTCCCTTAACACTGAACTTACCTACTGATAAAGAGATATCCACTCTCATCTCCTGTTAGTATATCAACTAAGACTATTGTTATCAGACTTTGAATCAAAGAGAAAGACAACTTACAGCTACTGCCCATTTTCTTAAGCAATTTTCCTTTTTTCAGAGATTTAAATTTTGAAGAATGCCCAACAACTATAATTGGTACTTAGCAGCTTATAGAACCAACTCTCTGTAATCTTAAAATAAACTTGCATTTATGTAGAAAGCATCTCTCTCTCCATATGATAAGATGCAAATAAACATACAGTACTTGCCATCAACTAAATCTTTTAATGCCTTAAAGCATTGCTACTTTACTATAGGGTCCACTAAGATAAAATCATTGTATGTTTAATCCTCTCCTAGAATCAGTAGACAGAACTTCAAGACAACAATGGAAAACCCACAGGTTTATCCATATTTGATCCTGCATGACATTTATTTTGATTTTACAACAAATCTCTTTAAATAGGAGTAACAGGCAGACTTCAAAGTGCTCCTTCTTCTACCAGAGAGCATTTTAAGGTGCTATTCTTCACTGAGTTTCTCTCTTCTTCTGGTGCATTTTAGGCTTGGATCAGATGAAAAAGCTCTGATGAATTCAAGGCGTAGCTGAAAAGCATCCTCCCTTCCTTCCTTCTCCTCCCCTTTACTTTTAGGTGTGCAAAAGTAGTTAGATCCATAAGGCCACGTCTGCCTAATAAAGAAGCTATTGCCCTCTGGGTATCACTAGGTAAGCACTTCTGACATTGGTGGATATGAATGCTTAAATAAAATAGCTCCAATTCATTTTCCATCCTATTCTTTCTCTACCAATCTTTTCCCACATCTCTTAACAAACTTTCTCAGTCTCTATATTTATCTGGAAAAGTCAGGCATAGTACAAAAGATACAGCAAAAACTTGGGGAAGAGAGGAATTCAGAAGAGCTGGGGTTCTGGAATTTGTTTGGCACACCCATTCTTCACCTGCAAATGTCCAGACACTTGGCTCTCTCTTGCTACAAACCCATGCTGACTTAGTGGCGTTTTAGGAAAAGAGAAGTAGTAGATGTACAGGCTGCCATCTAGTGGGGATTCAAAGATCCGACCTTCCTTGAAAGGAAAGATTTATGGACAATGTTGCAGAAATGAAAGAGCAGGCTCTTCTTTTTACAGCAAGTGCAGAGGAGCTGGATTTAGCACATTCTCCAAAATGCCATATTTATAACTGGAAAAGAAATGGAGGTGTCTTACCAGCTGTGGATTGGTGCCATTGGAAAGAATATCCAGTAAATCCGCAGAGGAAATAAAGTAAAACCTGGGAAAGGCCAGTCGTTTGGTGTCCAAATATTCAGCCAAAGCTTTTTCACACAAAGACAATCTGACAAAATCAAGCATAAAACAGCATAAGGGTATGGAGAAAAAGGCAAACAGAGCAGTCTAAGTAAACCCGACATACGGACACACACTTTCCCAACAGCACCCTCTTCCTAGGCTGTGGATACACTCACATTACTGAAAGAATGTTTTTATGCACACACGTTGCATTTGTGATAGTACATTTCATTTCTAAAAAACAAGGCTCCACTACTCTTCCCAAGTCAGGAACTACCTTTGAATGGTTTGTTTGCATTGGGGAAAGTACGTGCAAAAGCCAAACTTGGACAAAGAAAGAGGGAAGCCAAGACAACAACTACATCTAATGTAATTTAAGTTGAAAATCAGTTAATTAATTAATTATGGTTAAAGGGATTATTCTTCATGTATAGAGAGTAACAGGCAAGCAGAGAGGTTAGGGTGTTGGATTAAGAGCTGGTAGACCCAGGTTCAAATCCATCCTCAGCCACAGAGACTCACTGGGCCTGTCACTCTCCCTTAGCCCAATCTTCCTCACAGGGTGGTTGTGGGAAAAACAGGAGGAGGGAACACTGCCTTGAGCTCCTGAACAAAAAGGTGTGATTTCAGATCTAACAAACAAACAAATATTCCCCTCTACAAATTTGTGGCAAGCTTGGGAGAAGCTCTGGGATGCTCATCCATTCAAGAGTCCACATACAGCCACAGGTTATCCATCTGTTTGCAGCTGAAGAATGTAATGTTTGCTTAGCTCTGCACATTATAAAAAGAACACTTCAACTGACTGACAAATTATCTTCAGGCCAGATTTAATAATACAACCCAGAAAAGGAAACTGTAAGTAAGGTCACAGGGATCCACACAATCCAGGTATGTGTGTCTTAACCCACCTGTTTTGAATATTTTCTAGTTGCTCATATAGATGTGGCTTCTCAGTTGCCTCTATTACATTTGGGGTTTTTTCAGCATCATAGGCCAGTTCTTTAAAGTCAGCATCAATTCCCTCAAAACGTTTGGAGTCCTATAAATGACAAGACATGATCTTACTGATTTCTGGCATTTCTCTCTCAAAAGTGTTTTTTATTATTCCACATCCAAATCTCTTGAGCAGTGCCTTACCCCAAAAATGCAAAAGGATGCAAACCAAGACTGGAGGAATCCCTCTCCAGACATAACCCAGCATCCTCAGACGTATAGCTACAGAAAATACCATAAATACCAATCTGGAAATTACAAGATAAGCAATGACCATTTATTTAGCAAAGTCTGTGCATCAGCCATTTTTCATTTGCAAGTGCTATTTCTGCAGAGCTCAGACGACTTTTCATCATGGTATATTTGCATCCTTTACTTCTATCATCTTATCCAGCAGAACTGTCTACATTAAATATTTAAAACCACTTACATTGCTTTCAGTGTCATGGTTTTCCCTAAAGAATTGTAATCCTGGGAATTGAATAACCTTCCTCAATTTGGAGCTGTCCAGGTGTATTAGCACTACTACTCCAGGTTTCTAATAATTGCTCTCTGGAAGCTGCATAGCATTTCCCATGAAAAGGAAATGATGGTTTTACCTCAGGAAGTTGCGCCCGGATATCTTCTGACCCAATGAATATGCTTTCTAGATGAGACCAGCTCCGTTGAACTTCAAACCAGATGGAAATGACCGAGTCTGCTGTAGACAGCTTCCTCTGCCAGAAAGACACTTCCTCTAAGAAAAAAGCAATGTATTTGGATGTCATTAAGTTCTGCAATTGGACCTGGTTGTCTTCAAGTGTCTCAATGAGCTCTTCATCAGATTTCAACAATGGGACATTTGTGCGGGGATGAGGTTCATAGAGGAACTCCATGCTAGCCCAGGTTGTTTTCAGTTCTTTCACAACTTTCTCCATGCCCATTTCTTTCATGGCTTTGTCAACTATGCTCCGAACTTCATCTTCAAAATTATGCAGGTTGAGTTTGAGCAAGTCTGCCAGGGTGGTATCTGCGTCCATTGTGAAGAACACGCCTGTGGCTTGCATCAACTGGTTCCAATGTCTCTCTCGGATGGCAGGATTTTGCAGTTCTGACACTGCCCTCAAAGAGGTCAGGATGTTTTTCACCCTGTTGTCCAACCCAGAAAAAGCATCCCAAGCTCTCATTTCTTTATCCAAGTTCCGAATGCTTTTGGCAAACTTTTTGCACTCCAATTCCATATTTTCAACATTAATATCAATCCATTTTGTAGTTTCCCATTCATTCGTACTAGAGATCACTAGGGAGATCATATCCCACAGTTCTTTAAGAATGCATATTTCCTTTCGGCACTGCTTGAGCTGCTTGTAGTCTGGAACACTCACTTCAAATAAATCTGCTGATTTATAAATTGAGGTCATGGTAAGTTCCATTTGCCGTAGCTCCGCGTGGGATGCATCTAGCATCTGATAAGGGTTTGTTGCATCAAATCTAGGAAGCAAGTTTTAACCTACTTTAATCATGTTTGCATATTTTTTTCTCTTACAAATGCACTGACATGCTAAACATGAATGACTAGTGTGCAATTAAATAGAAATTAAAGAACACAGTATGTCCAACTGCATAGAGAGGCAATATAAACAACTGACATTTGCCTTCCACCTCACACTTTCCTCTGACTTACGTGTTGTACCTGCCCCTACCCTTCATGAGTACTCATACAAAACAATTTCAGAACCATAAACCTTGCCCCTAGGTGGGCACTAGTAAAAGACAACTGGAAACAAAACATATTAAATTTCAACTACAGAAAGCTGTCCATAAAAATTACAGGCTGGGTGATGGAATCTCTTTCAGAATTCTGCACTCCCTGAAGTAAGATGAGCTGCGTAGCAAAACTCAGAGGAAAGAGGCCAGAAGAGAAGTTTGTAGTAGCTGTCTAGCAATTAACTGGCCAGGAAATTTCAGGAGAGAGTAGGGTCAAGCTGAGGTGACAACACCATTTAAGCATTTCACATCAGGCAAGGAAAAGGCCAAGACCAACACATCAGTATTGCAAACATAGCATGGATGGTAAATAAAAGGTAAGACATCAGCAATACCCCTGCCAGGAGCAAAAAGATTCTATACGCCTACTTTTTAAGGACTAGTATGGAAAGATATTACAGAAAGGTAACTGTTTTAACCTTCCCTTGCTATCTGGCACGGAGAGCACAAGACTTGCAACAACAGGATAAAGAACAAGCTAATTAGATGGGCCTTCCTTATTCAGGTGACCTGATCTCTTTATCTTAGTCACAAGGTAAATATACGCCATCTTCAGTAAACCCACAAGACTTCCACTACTTCAGAGCTGTGATCTGCCCTAACCTGAAAGGTGCCTCTTGGTGGAATCTTTCTCTGAATTTATTCTGCTCCACATCAAACAGAGCGCACTTCCTGCGAAGTATGGCCACTTCATTTGCCTGCAAGGGAGCCACTTGCTGCTTCATATTTATGGCCAACTTCTTCACATTGTTCCATTTTTCTGGCAGTTCCTGGAAGCAAAAAATAAATAAAATCATGTTGTTGGCTGATGAAACATATTATATATTTTGTTTCTAATAGAGGGACCATGCTGCTTAGATATCTTGCTAGTTATATGTTTTCCTCAATAAATATTGTTTCCCTTGCTTTATAAATTAGTGAAAGTGTACATCTTGTACCCCATTAGGAAGAAGGGAACACTTTTCCATGGTCTTCAGTACCCATCACTGTCTTCCTCTTTACTCTACAATTAATGCTTCTGTATCCTGATTCTAACACATGTTATTAAATTAGTGAAGAAGAGGTCTTTAAATAAAATAAATTTGGCATGTTCTTAAATCATAATTATGCCTAAAAAATTTACTTCAAACTGCCATTTCAGCAGAAGAAAAGCAGTTAAGAGGCTGAAAATCTGGATCTGTAGCCCATTTCTAGCCATATTTCTCATTTCAGTAGAAATACTGTGTAATGCAGATAAATTAGGACCACAGCATCTTTTGGCAACGTTTGCTAAGAATTTAAACCTGCAGTCCTAACTCAGCTTGAGAGCGCCAGTTTGGGACAGGCTATTTTATCATTATGAAGCATGCAAATATGTGCATATTGCATAAATTGAGATGTCTACTCCACTCTTCCTTCAGAAAACTCAGAGTGATTTACACAGTACTCATTGTCATCTCTCATCCTGGCACTGATTATACCTCCTTTGCCTCATTATTGTTAAGGTCAGTTATTCCATGACCATTCACTGGATGAGAATAGTGTCCTTAAATGAGTTGGTGAGTTTTTGCTATGTTCACATATTTGCATAGTGATATCTATGATTTCACCCACCTCCAGTTGTCTATAGACATCCCCAGGCAATTCTTGCTCGTAATTCTTCAATAATTCAATAGTTTGTTTCAAGGGCTCAAACATCTCATCAGTGCTGGACTGTCTATCCTTAACAGCCATCAGATGACCCATAACTTCCACCAAGCCTTCATAATCTCCTTTCTCCAACTTTTTGTTCAAACCTTTCTCAGCAATCTTTACAAACTCCTCAAGGTCAGACAAACTAAAGGCAGAGCAGAGGAAACAATCAAAGAAAAACAATATGTTGAGAACAATAAATGTGATAACAAAATCTATCATCCTTCAAGCAAATAACTGGAGAAAATGATTACTATAGCAAAAAGAGGACCCAACCTGGCTGACAAATTATAAGGGCTCCTACTCAGCAAATCACCTGGATGAAAGAAAAAAAGCAGCAAAGCAATCCTAAGTCTTGCGGGGTGAGGAAGACCACGGCATGACAAATGATCTGTCACTTCCAAAGCCCTGTTGCCTAACATAGGCTAGGACAAATGGGCAAGGAAGGTTGTCCAGAGCATCTTTTCTCTTTTTGAAAGTGAAACTTTTTCTATGTTTTTCATTGCAACCATGGGGAAAGCATGGAGAAAGAAATGGATGCAGTCAAGGGGCCTAGTCCTTGGATCTCAGAGTAACTGAAAGAAGTGTGAAATTATTGGATTCTAGGTTGCTTTCAACAAGGGCAGAGAGAGAAGGTGTATTTGGGTGGCTATTGCTCGTAGGAACACTTGCCCAGGATTACCTGCCCAGTGGATTGAGTGAAGCCCAAATCACCATCTTGTTACCTGTTTGGGTATGACTGAAAGTTCTAGAGAGATTGCTACCAACCCTATTCATTTTTTGGTAATTAGCTCAAGAGCCCTTTGAACAGGTTAGTGAAGAGAAGCCCCTGCCTCCCCATTCAGAGGGAACCCACCATGGAATGCCCACTGCTGGAAAACCACAGGAGTTCTCTCTTTAAACATGGACAAAAAAGGGCATCATGGTTCTTTTGCTATTCTAAAGAAACAAAATGGCAATCTATCACATATCTAAGATCCTTTAAAGCAGAGTAGCTTGATCTTTTTTCGTACTGAAGAAACAGTGTAAATAATTGGCTTGACAAAATGCATGCCTTCTACTCATAGGAAACTGAAAGAAGATCCCATTTTCAGAAAACATATTTGATATTCAAATGCATAAGATTTTTTTTCTAAAAGAATTATTCCTCGGGCTCATTCTCCCCCAATCTTGAAGAAAGCTGAAGTCCAAAACAGTCCAAAGGATACCAGGTTGCTTGTTGTCTGACACCAACGTAAGGTACCTGCATGTGCACACACACAGAGATATAGACACACACATATTTACAGGTCTGATATATATCAAAACCTATTTTGTTTGAGCGGTGCAACTCAAGGATGTTCAGATACCACAGATTAGGAAACAGAAATCCTACAAAGACAGGGTGAAGAAACTGAATACGTCTATCCTCGTTTTGAGAAAAGGAGACTAAAACCAAGGAGGATACGGTGGCAGTTTTCAACATTCAAAAAATCTAAAGAGAAAAGTAGATGTGCCAGAGCAGTCACCCCTATTCACATATTGAACTGGGATGGATGCCTAAAAGTGCATGTGAAAAGAGAAAGGAGAAAAACTTGTTTGTCTTAAATCACTGTCCATGTCCCAACTAAGATGCTAGAAGTAAACCAGGTTGACTAGTTGAAGTAATTTCCCCAATCTTGGTACCCTATTCCAAATGTGTTCAATTTCAGCTTTCTTTTGCTAACCTGGCTGTGGAACACAATAAGCAGCTAAGCACAAGGCATCGAGATGGGGATGGATTTTACTGCACGTGATGAACTGATCTCCACTCCAATTCATTTTGTGTGGAGGAGGACATCAAGATAAACGCCTTAACTCATCTAACTTGCCCATAAGAGAAGGAAAGATGTTTCATCTAGAGCAGAGCATCAAAAGCCATTGTTTTCATTTCAGACAGACAGGAATTTAATTCACATTTTAGAAAGACTATTCTAATGGCAAGACTCATTCAGCCCTGGAACTATCTTTTCCAACTTGGTGCCCTTCAAAAGTTTTAGACAGATTTCCAATTCTGTAATTCCCAGCCAATATGTACAACAGACATCAGGCTGAGGAAGACTATCTTGGGCTGTGGGTTACATTTACTTTGTAGTTTTTATTTCAGGTACATGCTGCCTCTTTCAGCTCAGGAATTTTTAAAACTATACTTTAATTTTATCTATGTACAAATTATGGAAATAGGTTTATTCATATGGAAGGGACAAATCTTAAGTTTGTATAGAAATACATGTTGGGAACCAAAATAAATCTATCTTGCATCTCAGATTTCTATGGTATCTTGAGAGGTTAGGTACATTCTGTTGTTAACAAGGCTAAGGTGAGTGCCTTGAAAACTTAATAGGAGGCTGAATGAAATATCCCCTTGCCCCCTAAAATAAGTTGAAAATATCTCTGTAAATATCTCTAACACATTTATATAATTTTGGAGATGTAGGCAGAGAATAACCAGATAATCACCAATCATGTCTTCAGCCTGGGAGTGGTTGGTCAAATGCTGATTAATCACATAAGCCTACTCACAGACCTAGGGGGTAAATAAAAGGACTAGTACTGAGGGATCTTGTGGGAATGCACATATTTTAGGAACATACATGAGACCAGAAAAGGGATAGTAAGATTTGACTTGCTTCCGGCAAGAATCTAAACATTCTGGCTACTGCTATTCCCTGAAAGTCTAATGAAGAAACAGGGCTCATCAGTAAAGTCTCCATTTATCTGTATCTTGGATATTTACTTATTTATTTATTTAAACAATTTATAAGGCTGCCCATTTTTCAAAAGTGACTCTGGGCAGCATATGAGGATTAAAATGTAGCCATCACTACAACAATTTAATATAAATACAAATGTATGTATTTAACATGTTAAATTTATGTATTTAATGTAAATACAAATAGGACAAAATGCCAGTAAGTCTACAGAACTTCTGAAGTTCCTCATCGCTTGAAAAACTAGGATGCAATCTCCTCTTGAGAATAATCAGGCATTCTCATTTCATATTTTATTTTTTGATGATCCTATACTCATAATTTGGAAATGTAATTAGTGTCCCTCACTTTATCCAATAATAAACTACATAATTACTGCAAGGTATTTCCAGCTATATCCCACAAGACCTCACAGAGATTGGTGTAGCGTAATCCTTTCGACAAGGATTCAGTCATTGCCATTTGATTATTGTTCTGCTGCAACAATTAGTCATGACATTTAAAGCATAACTGTGGGAGTACACAAAAATAGAAGGGACTTTAAACCAGCATTGAAGACATTTAATGGTGACATTGCTTATCCCTTCAGATCATGAAATTATGCATAGGATGAGGCAATTATAAGAAAGAAAAAAAGAAAAGAACTGGCAAAAAATTTCATCAAGCTAATGCTCACGAGATTACATTAGATTACAATTTCCATAATCAGAGCTAACCTTCGAGGTGCTCCAGCTGGCATAGTTCAAAGGATGTTAGGTTCAATTAAGTGCATGGTAGCCAAAACAGAGCAGTTACTGTGACTCTGGAGGTTAAGTGCCTGCAAAGCTTTTACCAACAAGAGCCAATTGATCCCACAGACTGGAGCTTCCCCATCCTGATCTAATTTGTATTCATCAGTTCTTGTCCACTGTTCACAAGCAACTTGGGAATAAATCCTTTTGCAGTCCCCTTTCTTTGAAATCAGTAACATTAAACTGATATTCTCTATCTTTTCTATTTAACTTTTCAATATCTCCTCTGTGCTCCCCTTTTTCACCACGAATAAACATCCCCTTAGTCTGCACACCCATCCAGTCTCTGATGTTTCCCTAATGAAATCTTCCAGACCGTATTTAGTACATACTGTATCCTCTTTATTTTTTTTTAATTAAAACCTTTTAAAGTTTAGAATATTTAGAATTAGCACACTGATCCATGTATAATTAAAACCTTTTAAAGTTTAGAATATTTAGAATTAGCACACTGATCCATGTATAATTAAAACCTTTTAAAGTTTAGAATATTTAGAATTAGCACACTGATCCATGTATAATTAAAACCTTTTAAAGTTTAGAATATTTAGAATTAGCACACTGATCCATGTATTAGGTATTGGTCATGCTAATTAAACAGGGTTTTTTTCCTCCTTTGGAAAATGTATAATTGTTTCCCCTTAGCTTCTTTTTTCTCATGTATATAATCTTTGGAATTGTAGTAATTGTAATTGCCTGAACTATTTCTCCTCATTATTTGTTAGTGCGAATATTAATTGTACTAATTGTTCCCATCATATGTGAATTTTAATCCCCCAAGTAGAAATCACTACAATGCTCACTTAAAAGATCACTGAAATCAGTAAGATCTCTGAAACTGACTCAAAGCCAAACATATGTGCATAGGGCATTCCATGTGGGAATGGAAGAGCTGACTTGTAAGAATTCAAGGACATTTTTAAAAACACACACACAAATGAAAAATGGCCGTGAGCTAAATGGAATTTTAATAGCAACCTCTTCAGCATGCTAGAAACTAAGTCTGCCCAAGAACATTACATGTGTAGTAGTTTTATATCAATTTCAGGAAATACGACATTCAACAGGATCTTAAAGAAGAAAAACACTGTGATTCACAGAACATCAAACTGATCTCTGATGAGTCAAGCCTTATACGACATTGTAACACATGCATAAGCAAGCAGCTGGTGTTGCAATGAAAAGAAATGGGCAAAACTGGGGGGAATTTTTCTTGGACTTTTTCTTAAACACCATTATGCCTTTTGTACAACTTACATCTACTGGTCCTACTTGTTTCCTGCCTGAAAAGAGATGGAAACAATGCCAACTATTTAAAATTGCATTGACGTATATTGAAGAAGGTAGGGTGCCACAAAAAGAGAAACTTTGGGTCTAGATTTTTATCTACTCTTTTTTTAACCACATTTTCTACCCAACATGAAAGATCTAAGCAGAGGAAGAAAAATAGTGATACCTGTGGGTCACATGGTCAATGAGATGCTGCTTGAACATGAAACTCCATTTTTTAATTATACCCAGAAGAGATGCTTTGAAGGAACGGGCATCCACTTTCATCCAGCTGTCAAGCACACAGATTGGCTCCAGGTGGCTTACTTCTTCATAGACCCTCTCATAAGAGTCTATTTGCTCTCTGAACTGCTGAAGTGTAGGAGGGGTCTCTGGGACACCTTCCTCTGCATGGACTTCTATCTCCTCTGCAGTGAGAACATGACCATATAAGAGAAACTGGCGTAAGAATTCCTTTCTGTCATCCACATAGAGATAGGAGTAGTGGTCAAAGGAGTTGCGATAGGCACAACAAGCTGAGATCATCTTCTGGACACGCCCCATTAAGCTTTGGCGCATGTCAGCAAGGTCAGCCATCTCTTCCATGTCAGCCTGTCAGGAGACAGAAATGCAACCCTGAACTAAACAGAACAACTGAAGGAACACATTCACATGTAATACAGGACTGTAGCCACCAAGGATCAAACCTGATAATGAGGGAATGTGCAATGGTCTGCAAGCCTTGGTACCAGGGAAGAGACCCGGTAGATCTCATTGACAAGACCTTCAACTATATCATAGAAACCATCGCCGGCACCAGCATCCAAAGTAGGGCGAAATGTCATCTCAGGGACAGACAACTCCAGTTGGATTTTGAAAAGAGGAGCGTGGTCTGCCTTGGAATCTGCAGGACAAGAAGGCAGGTGTAAGTGGTCTGCTGACAATTCCTTCCAGCCTCTGCAATGAAAAACACCAGTACAGCCTTCCACTGTTTGGCACCCTTCAGATATCTTGGATTACCATTTCCAGAATTCTCAGCCAGTCCAGCCAAAGGCCATGCTGGCTGTAAAGTCTAGGAGTTGTAGCCTAACACAGATGAAGCAAACTGCATGTCAGCCCTACAAGGTAGACCAAGTCAGAACTACTTTTATTGTAACAGCTACAGTAACAGAATCTTGCAAATGTTCCCCCTCCCTCACTTTATCTTCTTGTAAACTAGGGTGAGGCTTGTCTGAGACATTCTTCAAGTTAGTTTCTTGCCCCAGGCTCAAGACCCACTTATCTGACCATTGCCTTGGTAGCAGCTCTTTCCTCTATTCATCAAGGCCATTCCTCTTATGCCCTCTACACTGCATTAAATGAATAGACATAGACATCAGCAAAATTTTTGTGAAAGAATCATACCTTTGATTTTAAAGTCTTATTTCCAATCACAGCAAAATAAATTCAGATGCAAAAGGGAAAATCTTGTTTTCACAGGCCAGATCTCTTGTAATCTTAGTTCAGTGATTGCACAATATGTCCAGATTAGAACATGGAGGTCCAACAATCTCTCCACCTCCACCCCATTATGTTCACAATAGATACAACAATAATGGAAGAACCAGCCCCAAAATAAATGAGAAAGGAGTCTGATTAAGAAGGACAAATTCACCTGTATTTTCCAAAAGGTATTTAAGTGAACATTCAATGACATTAAAGAATCCATCCAGAATGATCTCATCTATATGTTCCAAATAAGCTTTCCATACATCTGAAGATGGATCTGCTTCAAAGAGTCTCAAATTTTCCTAAATATAAAGAAATCCCAATCAAAAGACATTCTTTGAACTTGTTTCAGCACTAATAAAAAGGTAGAAACGGCACTATCTAGCATTCCCTTTCACTTTTTAAAAATATTTCTTTTAACCTAGCAGATACTCCTTGAGGGATATCACATGTTCTACGGAGCCCACAAGTGCCACATTTGGTGGCCTGAAAAGCTTTTGTGGATGCTGCTGCAGTTTGCTTAAGGAAAGAATTAGGAACCATTAGTCCAGATCATCACTTACTATGCCTCGTACAGTATTCAAATATTTCAGGGTGAGTTTTCCCCCCCCATCACTTGCTGCCTTATCTTTTATCTGAAGATGCTAAGTGGGTCCCAGATCTCCTTCCTACGATTCTTTTGCCATCATGCAACCATATCCCCTCTAGAACTTCTACTAACTATCCTTTGAAATCCTAGTAAATGCTTGGTTTCAGTTTTAGTCAGAACTCCACTATATTCCAAGCATTAAAGGCAGCAAGACATATTTGGATGTTACTGGGAAGGATATTTTAAGTTTGATTTGTGTTCTCATAAGCAATTGATTCTCTGGAATAATTCCTATTTAACAAAAGTGGAGAAAAGTGTTGTTTGTTTTACATTTGGGCTCAAAAAAGGAGTAATATCTTAGATCTGGTTATTAATAATAACACCTTGAAGACTTTTGAGAGGGGATAGAAAGAATACAACTTGCCTAAAAGCTACCTTAAATGAATATAGTTTGCAATATATTAAATGAAAACACTTGATCTTTTCCCAACTTGCACCTAATGTTTTGGCAATCTTGGCAATGCCTACAGTTCTAAGTGTACTTGTAGTAGTATTTGGGAGGCTAAACAACAATGAACTGACAATTAAGATAAATATTGATAACTTACAAGAAATATGGAATAAAGAATTAGAATCAGGTAACATATAAATTCTGGTAATAAAATAGTAAAATAAAATTTTAACAAATCAGTCTTGAGTTTTAAATGATATTAAATATGTCTCTTATGATCTTAAGATGAGACAAATTCATCAAAAGGGGGGGGGTTGTATTTACTAGATACTTCAGTGGATGTTCAAAAAGGGTTGCTTTTATTTTTTACATTTATTTTTATTAGTATGGGGGAATGGGTTCTCTTCCAGGTTGATATCTGTTTTCTAGCTTTTTGTACTTTGGTATTTTATATATTTTGTTTTATTGTGAATTTTTGCAATAAAATCAATTTAAAAACTGAAACTACACAGAATAATGAAACTCTACACAAAACACAATATCAGCATCTTTCTATTTAATGAGAGAAGTCTTGATTTGTAGGTGTGGTTTATATCCCAGCCTGCTCTAAATGCAAACAGGCATATATT